GTCTCGGCCGGACCGAGCCTCTCCTCCGCGGCCCTTCCCTCATCACCCTTCGACCACGAAAGGAAACGCAAGCAAGCAGAGCGCTTCAGGGGCTCCTCCAGCGCACAGAACACAAAACACGCGTCTGGGACATACAGGACATTTATTGAAGTCAATCTCAAGCAAAATCCGAAATCGGTGGAATGTCAAAAAATCTTTCCAAATGAATCCTCACAGAAGCAAAAAACACGTTTGATTTACAAAGTATTTGTAAAATAAAAAAGGCAACATTTCAGTAAAGATAATATACAAAACTGTATGTTCCTACCAGCACACGTATCAGTAAGAAGCTTAAATATTACAGGCAATCCTAAGCACACTGTAACTAGTCAACGAGCTATCTATATACAGGTGAACCAAGCTTTGTACGTTTCACACTCTGCAATAAAACACAGGCCAATCAACAACATCCTCCAAGTATTACGTAGCTTACGTCTATGTGGCGACATCGAGTCATGGTAGTCACGGCCCGCGGAACTCCCCCAGGGCCCGCAGCGTCCAGGCTCCTACCAGCTCAGGGGACGCAGGAGACTACTTCGGTCAACACCGAGTCTTTGTCATTAAAGACTCAAGTCTAAAGTGATTTAGGCAAAGTAACATTTCACAGGATCTACAAAGTTTGTTACAGATAAACAAAGTACAGAAATAACCAGTCTACAAAGGTCACTGTCGGGAAGAACTTGAGGAAACGGAGACAGAATGTCTAGGCGTCTATGTGTGCTGTGTACTAAAGGGGTACAAATGAATTTCTCTACCACTTCCAAATACGCACACATTCTTGTATGTAAAGGATCTTGCTGACCAGTTGTAATTATCATTTAGCATCTTGATCGTTAGTGAAATAGGATTCTTAACACAGGGTATGTGACAGCAAATGACAGAATACTGACCCCGAAGTCAAAGTAAAAATAAATCTGTAGTCCATACTAAGCTGACAGGAATTGCTCACAAAGGCCCCACGCTGGCAGGCCGGTGTCCTGAGCCAAGGCACGCACAGCAGGAGTCTGGGGGTGCCAGGAAGGGGCGGTGCAGGGCGCTCAGCCACCGCACCTCACAGGAAAAGCAAGGGCTGACCCAGGACTTTGGCCCCTGTGCCGTTTGCCCTTCCTACCTGCCTGTTAATGACTTTCAGAGCCCCTGGAGCACAGGCAATGAATTCTCCCCTCCCTTCTCCCTCACACGAATGTGCCACAAGTGCTCATGTTTGTCACTTCTGAGATGGACAAAAAACCAAAATCAGAAATGGTTTTGGAAAACAAGAGTCACACACAACATTTTAGGAGTGTAATATAAGTGCAAAAATCACCAACATGGGTATATATTAAAAGGAAAGAAGAGGGCCGGGGGATTTAGCTCAGTGGTGTTGCCACCTGCCTCGTAAGCACAAGGTCCCGAGTTCAATCTCCGGTACCGCAAACAAAACACAACAAAACAAAACAACAAAACAGGAAAGAAAAGATGCTGGGATAAGGCTGACAAAATACAGAATACACATGGGAAACACTTATAAAAAACGTTGCTGGTATCTCATGCAAGAGCCTCTTCTTCCAGGGCACACAGTAAATCTCAGATTCTACTGTGAACAAGGGCTCCCATTTCCAGAACTGTTTTTCATCCAGGTGAAAGAGGCTAAAGAGACGAAGCTATTTGTTTTCAAAATAGTACACAAAACAATGCTTTCTACTTCATTATGTATGTATGTATATATATAT